GCGAGAGAGAGGGACAGAGAGAAAGACACAGAGGGTGGGGAGCTTCCGTTGATAGGATGACCAAAATCGAACGAATCTACCACTACAACGTGGAGAGAGAGAGAGAGAGAGAGAGAGAGAGGGTATCAAACAGCGCCTCGAAAAAAAAAAAAAAAATGCAACCCCGCCAACATTCTGCGACGATCTCCTCCGTCTCGTTCCCCCTCCCCGCCCCCCTTCGGCCGCGGCGTAGCTGCGGCGGGTCCACTTCTTGTTTTAACAAGACATTCCTCATTCAATTTCATTTCAAAACGTCAGTCGAAACGAGGCCGGGGACCTCACAATTCAACCCGGAGTTATCCCGGCAGCATCAGCCGGTTTCGCTTCTGCTCAAGAACCCAATTAAAAGATGCATACCCAACTGCCCTCCTACTTCAATCTACTACTCCTACCTATTGCTGAATTACCCCTAACTTCCACGTCACAGACCTAGGCGCCGGTCCGAACTCGGCCCAAAACGACCAAGATGAAACCCTGTTCCGTTTTGGTAACTGACACTCTCCCTACTGTGGCCGCCGACTAGAACTGAGTGCGCCTGCGGTCTACTTCACAGGATTACGGCTTTCGACATGGGCCGAGGAACTCGAGGGTAAAAATCATTAAAAAGAAGACACGGGTTGAGGATATGTGGCAGCGGTCTGCAGAAAGGACATTCTGCAATAAATTTGGTGCCAGCCCGTGAGAGGAGTTGTGAGATCTTCAGGAGTCTCGCACTCCATTCTTGACTCAGTTGCCGGCAATAGCTGAAGAGCGATCGCCGGAGAGCAGAAGAAAACCTCCCGGTGGCGCCATCGTCAGTCACGCTAGGAGAGGGCTTCTCAGGCTTTGCCAAGCAGACCTCCGGACAGACTAAGGTCGTTGACGACAGCAGTCCACTGATTAAGGAAGACCGAGTCCTTCGCAAATAACCTCAGTGCCTAACAAGATAAGTTTCAAACGCGATGTCTTACAGACTTACACAAAATTCGACGCAGGGTTTAAAACGAAAGACTGATCCGGCTCCGTGTAACTCGCTGGTCCTTCAGCCCAGGCGTCAGAACTTCATTATTTCCGGTCACTCTATCTACAACCCTAACCAAAACATGGCGGTAGCTAAATTTAGCAAATGAGGCTATACATGCAGATAGAATAAACAGCGCCTTCCGCCGATCACCTTCCCATAATGATAGATCGGCCGAAATACAACCTCTGTCACACCCAGAATAGCCGCACGTGCTAACCTTAGCAACTCATTGGACAGCTTATTTGCAATGGACCCCTCGAGTGGAGGCCTAACAATATTCACTGGAAAGCCACACACTTCCCCTCGCTTAGAGCTTGCACAAGGTCCACGCCGTCACGCCCTGTCCGACAGATTATGTGTCCGATAATCTTCCTCTTACTCTCCTCCCTAAGCCCCTTTCCTTCCTCAGCAAGCTGCGTTGCGTACATCTTAACTCGCTCATCCTCGCCTGCCAGGTAGTAAAGCGCCAAGATTATTCTCTTCTGTTCCGAGTTCAGGGCCTCGCGTTGTGGAATTGAGAGGCAAGCAGGAGATGCGGCGACGGCCGGCGGAGCACAACAGGCATACGGGGCCGTGCAAACCGGTGGCTCCGACTTGTGTCGCGGGGCAGAACTAACGCAGACGGTCTCAAGCACGAGCTCCAAGATCGACACTTTCACTTTGTCAGTAAATTCCTTCAGAGATTCCGCCACCTCCTTGTCTTTGGAGGCAATAATTGCAACCTTTAGCGCCCCCAGCCCACCTATTGCATAGATTTTGCCGTAGATCTCCCACCTCTCCTTCAAGCTGAGCGTGCTCATCTTCTCCACCAACGTCACACCCAGGAGGTATCCTTCGACACTGGCCAGGCCAATCAGTTCCCTGAGCCTGTCGCACGCCGAATCACTGCTTCCACACAGCACTTGGGACAGAGCATCTTCCTCACCGAATTTTTTCAGCTCATCCAGGAAGCAACGGTCGGCCTCAACCACTGCTGCCAGCCTCAGCGCATCGAGTCCACCCTGGCGGAGCAATTCACCATATAGCTCCAATTTTGTCGCGGCCGACAATGTGGTCGACTCCTTCGCCAAACGGATGGAAATCTCGTAGCCCCGCAGGCCCGCGATGCAAACAATCTCTCTCAAAGCAGCCTTCCCCACTTCCGTGGCGATGGTTACACACTCAGCTCCGCAGGGATGAAAGGCCGGAGGTGCGGGTTGCTCAGGCTTCGGAAGGCAAAGAGCCGGAGCTGGGCACTCGTCTAAGTACCCTCCCTTACACAAGAACACAGTGAGGTCCTGGACGATAACCGTCAATTCTTCCACGAAAGCGGTGTCCTTGGCAAGGGACACGCCCAATCGAACRGCCTCGAGTCCCGCTTCTGCGAAGAGCTTTGAGTAAATATCGCGCTTGTCTGAGACAGASAGCGACTCCGACAGAAGCCTCACGGACAATTCATATCCAGCAGCGCCGGCCAACACCACCACCTGTCGCAAATCCCGCTGTTGCTGCGAGGCTTTCTCCGCCGAGGTGTCGCAAACAACGCTGGCCTTGGACGAAAGACTAGTGCCCACGGCGACCAGTTCCTCTAAAAATACGCGATCCCGGGCGAGTTTTGCGCCGGCCGCCAGAACCTCAACGCCACCCAGGCGGAGGAGGTCCGTGTAAACACTCTTACGCTCCTCGGCGCTCAAAAACTTCCACTCCTTCAGGATCTTCACACCCAGATCATAGCCGGCGATGCCCGCCCCCAGGACAAGGATATCCAGGATCTTCCGCACAGCCGTGGGCAGCTCCGCCTCGGGAACAGGGGGAACGGCCGGGCAGCAGACGYTTGATCCAACGGCRGCGGCCAGCAACTCCACGTAGTTCACCTCACTGCCCAACACAGCGGCCGCCTTGACGGCGTCCAGCCCGCCCTTCGTGTACAGCGACTTGTATATGCTCTTGCGTTCTTCCACTTCCAAGGTCGCCCACTGCGACTTCACCTTCATTCCGATCTCGTACCCCTCCACTCCTAACTTGCACACGAGATCCCGGAGGCTCTCCTCCGCACTCTTCAGGTCCTTCAGGGCCTCGCCGGTGGCCAGCACGTACGTGGAGACAAACGTCCCAGGAGGGAAAACCAGCGCGGAGATCGCCACGTCCGAGCTCAGCAACTCCGGAAGAACAGGGTACGCACGGATCTCCACCAGCGTCGCGATCTTGTCGATGATCTGCTGCTGCACATCACGTGTCAGGTTGCTGTTGCACGCGATCACCGTGGCCAGGTCACGGACTTTTTCTACTTCGCCCACTCCCAACCCATACCTCGCCAGCAAGTCCACCGCATTCTTCTGTCGCACCGTCAGCGAAACACCGCCCCCTACCTTGGGCTCGCAAGGATCCTTGTGGAAGGTTCCTGCAGGGAAAATCAAACCCTTCGGCGGCTCTGGCACGAACAACGCGGGAAGGCACGGCCTTGCTGCGATCTTCACCAATCTAACGACCTCATCGAGGAGGCTCTGCTTGTGGTCCAAGTCTGACGGACACGGTTCCACAAGCTTCAACAGCATGCCTCGCACCAGTTCACGATCGCAGATATTCTCCACCAGGTCAGAGATCTTCTCCACCGTGGCGATTTGGACGGCAGTAAGGCATGCCTGGGGAAGACAAACCGAAGGGGCTGGAGCAGGCGCAACACATTTCTCGGGGAACTTCAAACCCGCAGGCGCCTCCTTGGCAAAGATCAGCTTCAAGGCAAACCACCCGTCCGCCTCCACCAGGGTGGCGATCTCGTCGATGATTGCCTGCTGCGCAGTGAGCCCGATGCCAGCACAGCCTGCGAGCTTCGTGACCATATCCTTCACCTTCGTGGCATCCGTGGAGCATTTCACGTAGCTGACAATCCTACTCACGAAGTAGCTCTGCCGACCGTCAAGCTCAACAAAGGCCGGTGGGGAAGGGGGAGGGGGCACACATGCCTGAGTGGGAAGCGGTGCCGGTGGCGGCGTGCACGGATCCGCGCAGACAGAACCGGGAAGTTTGAGACCTGCGGGTGGGCGAGCATCACCGAACAGCTCAGCGATCAAGCCGTATGCCTTCGGTTGAACAAGAAACGAAAGCTGGTCCACAAGTCTCTGATGGTCGGCTATACACATCTAGATGTGTATAAGAGACAGGATCCGCGCAGACAGAACCGGGAAGTTTGAGACCTGCGGGTGGGCGAGCATCACCGAACAGCTCAGCGATCAAGCCGTATGCCTTCGGTTGAACAAGAAACGAAAGCTGGTCCACAAGTCTCTGATGGTCGGCAAGGGCGGCGCACTGGGAGAGGGCAATTCGCGTCGCCAAAACCTCGACGATATGCTCGCAATCGCCAGATACCACGTGCTTCTTAAGATAAGCGATCGAGAGCTCCTGGAGGCGTGTCAGGCATAGCGGTGGCGGACATGCTGGTGGGCAGAAAGGCTGTGACGGACAGGCTGGCGGGCACACAAACGGTAGTGGGCAGACAGGCGGTGGTGGGCAACCAGGGATCGCAGGAGGAGGTGGGATGAAGCAGACATTCGCACTCGGGCGGGAACACTTGACCCAGTAACTCAGCGAATATCGAGAGCATTTCTCAAAGACAACCTCCCCCAAACACTCAACTGTTTGGAGGAAGCGCTCATCACCCGCAAGCTCCGCACCCAGCTTCACTGCGTTCACACCTCCCGCCGTGAACAACGACTCGTAAATGACGACTTGCTCATCTACTGTCAGCTTTGACCAACCCTCTCTGATGCGAGTAGCGATGTCCAGACCGGAGACACCCAAAGCGCAGACCAGATCCCTCACGATACTATCGACCGTCCGCGGAGATCCGCAGACAGGATGCGGCTCCGACGGCGCCGGGCAGACGACGGGAGCGGGCGGCGCAGGCACGGGCGGAAGGAACTTCTGCTTGCCATCGGCATCAACGGATGCGAACACGGGCTTCTGCAAAAATCCAGCATCGTAGAGCGCTTGCGTAGTGGCGGAGAGAAGGCTGTCATTCGTGATATCCGTGCCGTTGGATGAGTTGCTGATGGCGCCATAGAAGTAATAACTGAAAGCGCCCACAGCTTTCCCTTCGATTTTCGCGTCCCAGCTCGGCTGTCGTTCGTCGCTGGCAAACCAGGCACAAGGAGTAGCGAAGCACCTGTCTCGAAGAGGATTCCCAGACTTCAACGCCGCGAACCTCCCGTCCTCGTTCAGCTTCCTGTAGCCCGCCCTTACGCCGACATTCTCGAGGCCCCTCGTCCTCACAGCCTTGTTCAGCAGGCTGCGACACGTGTAATGGTGAACAGCTGCAAAAGGACAGCCGACAAGCGGAGCAAGGAGAACGCAAGTTACACAAGGTCAATTGCCGCTAGATTCAAAAAGAAAAAAATAACAACGGTGAAAATTTTGTGCATGTGCATCGCGTTTTGGACCGCGTTCTTTTCCTACCATCATTTCTCTCGTCTCTTTTGGATCCTGTCCCTCCCAGTCTGTACCGGAATCCATCTTTTGGGTAGTGGTAGATTAGGTGGACGAACAGTGATAATGCCTTTCTTGGCGTACTCGGACACTTGCACACACATCGCTGCTCTTACAAACCAATAGTCATCATTAGTGTGACATAATACCTTTCTTCGGCCTTTTGCCGAAGATCAAGTGTCGTGTCTGTTCTGATAACTTAAATATCTGATCCATGGTCCGTCGGGCCACACACAGAAAACAAACGGTGTAACATTTTTCACGTCACTGACGAGAAGCGGATGGCTCGTTTACTCCGTCCTCGTCCATGAAAAAGCATAGACCAAAAAAAAAGGGAAAAAGAGTGACGGCCTTGAGATATCATCATTGAACTGACCGGCCCTAGGTAATTCAGAATGACATCATTCTTTTCATCTCGTAGTTTCTGGATTCGACCTTTTATCTCAACAATTCAGGGGCACTGGGCCCAGATAATTCCGCATGATTTTATTCTGGTATCTAGTTTCATCTGGATTCGAACTCAAGTCTGTACTTCAACATTTCACGGGCAATCCAGCTAGGCCCGTCGGTTGCTTGAGATAATGAGAGTATACTCGCACTGCGCGAGATCAATTCCTCCTTTTACAAGGACCTGATCTGGCCGCCGATTTCGCGATACTGCTATTATAAGGGCCGAACGTCTTCGCCCCAACATAACGCCCGACCTTTTTAGCTGTGTTTGGGGCATTTTTCAGCCCAAACGCCGCGATAATGACCTGGTGAAGACGGTAGTGTGAGCATGCCCTGCCCAAGCGAAAAGAACCAAAAAAAAAGGTAAGAATTAACAAAAACCCAATTCTGTGAAAAAAGGACCCCAGTTACGATTTAGAACTTACCACTTGTCCCCCTTGCAGGAGTACTAGACTACGAGAGTAGCAGGACCGGATGTAGTATGATATTGAACTGTCCCATGTCCCATTTGCAGGGGTGAAGTCCCACTAGCAAAGGGGGGATTGGATTGAATGCCTGAATCTGGACGTGTTTGGATACAGGTGCAGAAAACGGCGATTCGTCTGCTCTTTCTAAATCCTGTCGCACACGTTCCTGACATCCGATCTCAACAGCTCACGGCGCACTGTGGTCACGTTGGAAATTGAACGAAAGAAGACTAAACCCCCGCTAAAGCGACTTAGCCCCGCGGCTCTTCATCGTTTCCATCGCCCTCCATAGCGTCCGGTTGCGATATGTCCCTGCGTTAAATATGTACGTATATAAAATAACGAACAATAATAATAAAAAAAATAATAATATTGAATTGCCACGTTGGAAAATGCTCGAAAGGAAGACTAACCCCCCAGTACCGGTAGTGGGACTTAGTCCCGGGTCTTCATCTTCATCGTTTCCTGTTGCGATATGTGCCAGCGTTCAACTTCATCATTTTGGACGCTGCCGCCAGTCGCGTTGGACTAGGGGCACACTTTTTCGACTCCTCTGTGGACAAACCTTTGCCGGAACTACGGTCGGATACATTTAGTAACGTACTCAAGTGTGAATGTACGGTGCTGACCGGACATGGAAATTTGACGACATTCGGCTTCTCATTCATCCTCTCATAGGTCTTCTTGCGACTGCGGGTTTCCCATTAAGGGTTTATTTGGTTATGCGCCTGGAAGCTTCTCTTCCGTGTGAAACGAGCGATCGAATAGATAACGGCATATTTCGGGAGAAGAAAAGAAAAAAAAGGTAATGGCATTGGTTTAGGGGTGGGAGGAATTTGTGTTTGAGAGATTCAGGGCATACTCACACTTGGTAGCACTTTCCAAAACGCATCTGACCGCAATTTCGGCCAGACCTGGATACATCTCACTGCAATCACGTTATCCATGGCTCGTACAAAAAACTCCTACCGTGTTCACCCGAATATACCGACCGCTCATAATAGTCGAATTTGGTGCAATTATTAGTTCACATACAGCGATAATGACCGTTCATTAACCCTGATTGTCGTGGGGGCACAATTCGAATTACCTTTCATTCGTTGACGAACTTTTAAGGCCAAGTCCCACTTAGGTAGATTCTTCATTATTGTCCTTCTGGGACATCCGTTCAAATTGGAAGGATGACACGAATAAATCGAGAAATGGTCTAAATTTCTAAAAACCTAAAAACATGAGAAAAAAATCATCCATGGACGGTAGATCTCCTTTTGATCGTATACTGACACAACCACAACTGTTGTTTACCCAAAAAGAACAAAAACGATTATCTTTAGAATCGATGGTCGGAAATCTAGCATTCGCGTAAATGGGACTTGCTCCCTGGTTTCCCATTTGAAAAGACTCGTTGTCGTCCAGGCGTTCGGCCGTAGTTTTTCCTTTTTCTTTATGTGGTCCGATGGACCACGGCGCAGATATTAAGCTCGTCAGAACAGATTCTACACTTGATCTTAGGCAAAACGACGAAAATCGGAACGGATATGGTCTCTCTTTACCATCGTTTCGTTGTCGAAGTTTAAGAAGGCGTGTGCCTGTCTTTGATCAGCGGCTGCCAACTTACTCTTTTCTCGGAAGAACAAAAAAAAAAAAAAAAAAAAAAAAAAAAAAAAAAAAAAAAAAAAAAAAAAGACCCCGCAATCAGGCGAGCCCTGCGCTGGGCATGCATCCATCAGCGCATACACAGTACTGAAACATCACATTCATATCCTGCACATTGACATGTTATAATACTCACGTCGTCGTCTTCCCCACCTCCTCCTACTACTACTCCTCACCGCGTCTAATCTCTCCGTTTGATTGCAGTATTATGCCATGTCAATGTGCATGCTAAAAATGCCATGTTTCAACACATGCATCCATCAGCGCATACACAGGACAGAGGGCTACCGTTTTGCCGCCAATTGAGGGAAAAAACGTTCATCCTCGCCGCAGTTGGGGCAGATCTCACCTCGGAAACAAAGAAAAAAAGTTTAATGACCGTGTGTCCTGTTTGGGGGAAGGTGGAAGTGCCACTCGGCCCGACTCTTCGTTTCCCGCCGTCGATTTCAAGAGTCGACCGAAGCAAATGGAGAATCTGTGAAACACAGACCCAAGCTCGAACAAAGACCCAATCAGAAGACACAATGAGATAATTGGACAGAGAGCCCGAAAACAGCACTACCACTGAGAGTCGGGAATCAGAGCCATCACCGCTTGCTGAGGACTTACATCAGGTAATACACCCTGTGCTCGCAGGCAGGTCTCAAATGAAACTTCAAATGTTAGGCAGCATGAGCGACGCGCGACAGAGCATAAAACGAAATCCAATGGCACTGCAAGTCTGCAAGTAAGAAAAGGGAGCGGGGGGGGGGGAAGAGAAAGTATCCACGAAATCGAGCGCTGTTTTGGAAGACCCTCCTATGCACAGAGTCTTGTAGTGGGGCGTGGGCGGGGGGAACCGAAATAAGGAAAACTAAACCGGAGGTTAACGGTGGGATACGTTCATTGCGGCGACGAGAGCTCAAGTGATAGGAACAGTAACTCACCTGCCGCACATTCATTATCAGCCCTGAAGCCAGTGTCGAAAACGAAGACAACAGTAACGCCCTTCGGAACACAGTCGAACTTCTCCAAGAACACATCATGCGTGATGAAATTCCTGAAACCGCTAGCGTCGCACGTCGCGTCGATCGGCAGGATAACCTCCTCCAATCCTTCGAAGGAAGCCTTTGACGGAACCTGGGACCCATAGCCGGAGAAATGCACGTACAAAATGTCGCCATCCCGCGCGCCTTTCACCAGCCAATCAAGAGCGGCCAACAAATTAGACTTGGTGGGCGAGAGAGCGCCGCCCTTGTAGACGCACGGATCATCGACAAGCACAAAAAGATCCGACTCGGCGAAGCCATACGATAACGTCAAAACGGATTTCGCTTGCAGGACATCGTGGACAGGACCGTCCAGAGTCGGAATCTGCCGGTTGTCGGCATAGCTGATGCCTATGAGAACTGCCTTGCGCGCCATCTTCACTCCCACAGAGCTCTGCTAACGAAACGAAATCTTCCCCGCAAACGGGAGCAAGACGGCCAATGTGGGTAATGGCGTTTCCTCTTCCCAACCTCGTCTGGGCTCTCCTGCTCTACCTTCCGACCCGCATGGTCAGCAGCGCACAGCCTTCCACTCGCTACCTCTCTAAAGGCCACCGCGAGCTTCGATTTGCCATCTTCAGAGGTTAGGTCATGTCGATATATACGCCCTGAGGAAAGTACTCGAATGGTGTTGGAATCACCGGGAATTCCAAGGATCCGTGCTGGAGGCGTCTCGCTCCATGACTCGCCACACGCACAACATTCAAAAAACATGCCCGTGTATCTTCGATTGTTCTAGGGAAATATTCATCCTCACTTTTCACATTAGCGCGTAGTGGACCGGGGCCCTCGGGGGCAGTACTGAGCTTTCTAGGCGTGTGGATGGAGACCCCAATCACGAGTGGTTCCCACCCTGCTTGCGTGGCGGCCGAAGAACGGGATCGACGAGCCAGTAGTGCACCTCAAACGCGTAAACGTTTTCTTCTTTTCCTTTTTTTCCCTTTCTTTTTGCTCTTTTAAACGTTTTCCTCTGGGATGTAAATACGGTCACATGCAGCCATCCCAGGTGCGAAAGCGCCCGAATGAGACCTAATTCTACACTACTCTCCACATGCACAAAAGAACAAATATGGAGGTGTATCTGTGCATGTTCTAGCACACGATTCGCTCTCATTTTGCACATTTGGAGAGACGTGGAGAGGAGGTCCCTTTTCCAGTACATAACGAGAAACGACAACAAAAGCCCGCGCAATGGCGCTATCACAACGCTGACGCACCAACGCGCCCAGCTCAGTTGGTACACCCGCGAACTGTTGAACTGCATACCCAAGTTCGAATCCAGTTCAAAGCTCAGATCTCAAAGCTCTCGCCCTTTCTAATGAGAAAGAGAACAAAAAAGAAGAAAAAAACGCTGACGCCACGGCCGCCAAACACGCCGTACGCTGGAAAACGCGGCCTCGTCAACGCCGACATCGGGGGCTAGGTCCCACTTGCACGAATTAAGAGATACTGACCGTAGATAGTACAGATCGACGGCCGAAATCTCCTAATCCGTGCAAGTGGGACGTTGCCCCGGCCCTCGCTCCACCGCTCTCGAAATATGCTCCGCTAGAACATGAAACGATTCACCGCCATCATTTTTCCGCCAAAAATTGGTCCTCCAACTATTGATTCATTTCATAGATGGGGCCAACCGCTATCCGCCAACGTTTTGCATGCATCAGGAGAGCCCTGGTGTCCAGATTCATTTAGAAGTAGGCCCATGTTCGGTTCGTACGTCTGCTCCCAAGCGGGAAATTGACGAAATTCACGGAACGTCAGACAGTCGAAAATGCGTGGGTCTTCAGGCTCTATACAGGGACACCCGTACCTGGCCATCGATTCCGCCGAGCCACGGAGAAACGGATAGATGGCTCTGTGTCAAGCTGAGGGCGAGGGCGGTAACAGTGCGCTGCCAGCGCAGGTTTATTTTGTGTGTCAGCGAAGGGCTTTGTGGTCCCCCAAAAGTCCATCGCGACGGGGGCCAATATGCATCCCGTGAGAGGTAGCTGTGCTTGCAGGGGCCCCCTGTACAGGCTTACGAGTAGTGGTAGGTGGATAGTGAAAGGTGGAGACGAAGAAGGGCGGGGGGGGCCGGGGGACGGGGGAAGCGTCCTTCGGGGCATCTGTAAAAGCTGGAAGGACACAGAACCCCTGTGCGAGGATGACACGCATAAATGTATCAGAGGTCTGAGTCCGGGCTCGTCTTGATAGGATTGGGAAGAAGCTGTGTATGGGGGTCTCGCTCCACTACTGTCCACTGTACAAAAACGGACAGTTGTACTTCGCTCCACTTACTGTCCACTGTACATGTGCAAAATGGCTTGGACAGTTTTTAGAAACCCCGTAGAAAATCTACTGTCCGTGAATGTACAGCTCTCAGCCTGCAAATTTCATTACGCGGAATTTCGGCGGAAAGCCCTTCAAGGGACTCACCGTGAGGACCCGAATTTGGAGAGTGCACCTGGAGTTTGGGCGGACAAACCCCTATGGACGTCCTGTCTTGTAGTGCTATCACTGTGTCTGGTAGTGAAGCCGCGAATTTGAGAGGTGGACAGCGGACAGTAAGTGGAGGGATGTCGCATTTTCCACTGTCAGCTGTGCAATTTTTCGCTCTGACAACTGTCCACCAACTGTCCAAAAAATTGTACAGTGGACAGTAGTGGAGCGAGACCCTGGGCCTACTCACACTGGGGGCTTATAGCTAAAAGCTGATGCTTGGGCCAGTCGCACGAGGCAGGAAAAGTAGCAAAGCAGCAAACAGGGTATCACATGTCACTGATGTCAGGGGCCTGGCGGGCTGCGTGGAAGGCCATTTTGCTAGCACCTTTGTTGAAAAAAAATAAGTTCAAGGATTTGGGCCCCGCGCTGTGTGACCACTCAACACACCATTCTGGCAATTGCCAGAAAGTCTCGCTCTCGTCTTTTGTGATTTGCTGCCGCTATGTAACCGGGKGGGGTGGCATTTCAGCAAAATCTTTTTTTTTTTTTTTTTTTTTTTTTTTTGGAAACAATGCTCCAATCTATTCGTGGGGAGCCGCACACGCTGGGAACCGGGCCCAGCGTCCCATTTGAACATGAAACATGTTTGAGAACATATACAGAAAAACTTTGAGAAACCGGGGCTTTTACCCTGTTTTGTCTGAAATTAGGATCATGATCAATTACTAGCCTATTCGATGAAGAACCCCACGAGATAGGGTAGGACCCCACAGGAATGCGGAAAGGAAAAACTTTGCCACGGAAGTGTTTGCGCGACTGTGACGAACCATTTTCTGTAATCAGGCGACTTTCTGCGCGAAGCTGCTCGACGGGTCGGATGGGTGAGCTGCGGAGGAGATGGGCTGGTCGGGCAAATTGCATGGATGCCCTTGTTTCTTTTTGTTTTCGATCGGTGTAGGGGAAGTCCCGCGTCGACGATTGGGTAACCGCACCTTAGTGAGCGCGATGGATAACGGTTGCCATGGCTTCTTTCTTGTTCTGCTGTGGGCACTAGGAATTTTTGGCGCGATCATCGCGTGGAAATATCGTTTTTTTGAATTTTCAACTGATGTCGAGCCCCCACGGGCTCGCGGAATTTTTTTTCTTTTTCTTCTTTTTCGGAATTTCCTTTTGCAATTAGGACTTAGGCTAGGAATTTAGATACTCTGAATGTTGTTGTGCCGCGCTTGTGCGCATCTTGCTGCGCTGGGAACTGGGCTCCAACTAGATCGCGCCCTTAATTCTGTGTAACTGTCGTTCTTGGCGGGCGCGATTGTGATTGTATCTTTCTTCTTTCTTGGTTTCCCCAAGTTTACCCGCCTTCTTCTTCTCTGCCTTGCATGCTTAATGCTCCGTTCTAATTGGCCAGAATGCCTGCATGACCAGATCGATGGGTGGAGTGTGGCTACGACCCGCACGCTGTGGCCTGGCCATGCAGACGTAGACACTTCCTCTCTTCTCGTTCTGACCTCTTGGGCTTAATCCCGTATCCTTCACGCAAGCATGCATGCTATAAATTTCGCAAATGCGATTAAGTTTGCTCTCTATGGACCCTGGAGTTAGCGCGATCAGTGAGGGTCGACTAACGAGTCAGCTTAAAAGGTGAGTCGACGAGAGAGTTGTGCGATCCGACGAGCTGGTGTCGGGTATGCGGGATTGACATGCGGGGCCGCGACGGACTGTGGCACAAGGCCAACCTGACTTGCATGCTCGAACCAAGCGGGGTGACAACTATGTGTTGATGCGTGCGACGGACTGCTCGCATCGGGAGTGTAGAGTAGAGAGAGAGAGAGAGAGAGAGAGAGAG